AGAAGTTTAAACTTCTTTAATGGCTAAGAAACACAACACACGAGATTCTAATTCTAACACGTCATTCCAGGATATAATATTAAAGTCTAGGATGCCAAGCATCTCTCCATCTTCCCTCAATATGCATCACCGTGCAAGTAATGATGTTTCTTATGTGCCCCTCGAGGTCAATATACCAAATAAAAGCAGAATCTCAAAATGAAATTATTCAACTTATACATGAAACTCAATAACTATCAACAACACATGCGAGTGACATTCATCTACCCTAAGATCAACCATTAACCAGAGATCCCCAGAGATCCCCAAGTAGAGGATTCTCCATCGACATCCCCTCCTCATACTATAGTTCTTCCTCAATTGGGTCAAAAAGTTGAGTTCTTGTATATTGCTAATTTCATGTAGTTGGACAAAATTGTAACCCTTCAACACTATTTGAGAACATAGCTCAACCACATGCAATTCATGATGAGCTACGACTTATGGTTCAAGAAGAACTATTTTTAAGAGACAAAAGACATTTTCTTACTCATCGTAGTTCTCATGAGTCTTTTCCTTCGGTTAATATGGTTCTCCAACACCCCATTTTAGCACAAATCAAGCTTCAAAGCATTGAATCTTATAATGAGATATCTAACCCATATCAACACATTGATCGTTATAAAACTATCGTGCATATATGACGAGCCGCTGATGCAATCATCTCTTAAACTTTTCCTAACAACCTTAAATGTTAGGTGAGTTTGGCTCTATTCACTCTCAAAGGGAACTATTTATAGTTTCGATGAAGTTGTATAACAAATAAATGGATTATTAAAGGACCCTCTCATCTCTTAGAAATTTATTAAAATGAAGGAGAATCGCTTAAAGAACATTTTCAAGTATTCTCTATCGAGGCTCATCAAATTCTAAGAGTAGATCCAGAATTATTAAGGGACATTTTACTTAGAGGGTTACATCTTGGCCCCTTTTACTCATCATTAATACAAGAGACATTTCACTTCTACATTGATCTCATTCATCGCGTTACGGTCCAAATCACTGCTGATGAAGCTATTCACACGCATCAAAAGTAATTTAAATATTATTTTGGCAAATGCAAAAACCCTATTAGTGAAGTTACATAAACCTCACATGGGAAAAGTAAGCAAAATCAAAAGATGAAAAATGTTATCAATCTTAAACACCTGATCATACTCTATTAAACATATCTTAAAGTATAAAGTATGGAGATTCAAAATTATGAATACCTTAAGTGGTCGAAGCTATTAAAAAATCTAAATGGTGAGGACCAATCTGAATATTATAATTTCCACCTTTCAAAAGGATATTTCATAGACCTATGCTTTCACTTAAAGAAAAAAAAAATGAACGTTTGATATGTCAAGGTCACCTGGGTCATTATTTACAAAAGCGAGTTGAGAAAGATCATAAAAAGATTATCATAATTATTGAATAAGAGTACAATCACAATCTATCTTATCTTTACAAAAGGTTTGCTACTTTTATTTTAGTTTTATTTTTTAGAAGAATTTCTCAGTTATTTTGTTGTTGGTGGCAAAAAATTATCATTTAAGTAACTTTTTATCAATATATTTTCTTCTTTAGTATTAGTAGAATTTTTATAAAGGATATTTTATATTATAATTCCCCCTGAGAGCAAGTGACAGACACAACACTCACTTGTACCCATAGAATACACATCCATGAGGTTGTTCCGTTGGGAAGCTAGTAGTTGAAACGGTCCTCACTAAAAATACTCAGATACAATCTTTATTTATATCCATGGAAGACATGGCCACGGGTTATTCCTGATGAGAAGCTAGTAGTGGATGCATTCATCACTAGAAAGATCCCTTAAGGACAAGTGACAAACAAAGTCTTTACTTGTATTAGTGGAAGACACACCCATGAGGTATTTTAAGGAAGATAGTGGTGGACATTATCCTCAATAAAAAGCCCCTCTGAGGGTATGTGACAAACACAATCTCCACTTATTCGTCTAAATGATATGCTAATGGGATATTTTTTATGAGAAGCTAGTACGAACACAATCCACATTAGAGAGTCCACTTGAGGGCAAGTGGCAGACAATGTCTCCACTCAAACCCCCGGAAGGCACACCCATTATATAGCCACAGTGAAATGCTAGTAGTGGAAATATATTCTCATTAGAAAGACTCTAAGAGAGTAAGTAGTTAACAATGTCCCCACAAAAAAAAAAAAAAAATCTTAGAAAACAACAAGCCTAAAAAAGTATAAGCACACTAAAAAATATATGAAGGCTATAAGCCTTAGAATGTACGGGTATACTACAAAAAAACTTAGAATGTTATAAATCTCAAAAGGTAAATGTGCACTTAAAAATTTTTGAGGGGATATAAGCCTCAAAAAATTTTACTTACTGGAGAAGCCTTAAGAATCTTGGATGGTATGAGCCTCAAAAGATTTCAATATCAATATGTTCCTATGTGGTTTTTGTCATGACTTCTAATGGTTTAGTCTTTTATGAGGGACAAATTATAAGAAACCAACATTTTTACGTCAAACAACAATTGCATATGTCAGAAAAGTCAATAATAACATACGCTAGAAAAGGCAACACTCGCTTAGGATATTGGGAAATAATAACTTATAAGATAAGGCAACAACAACCCATGAGATATGACCGCACGAGCCTAAGAAATGGGGCAACACCATCCTATGAGATAACATAACACCAAGGCAGTAGATGGGGAAGTACCAACCCGGGAGATGTGGCACTAACAAACCAAGATAAGAAGCAAAAAAAGCTTAAAACATAGGGCAACATTTAAAAAAAAAAGGACAACAATAACAAAAAAAAATGGACAACAACAACCTAAAATGTGGGGTAATAACAACCCAAAAGATGAAATAACAATAGCTTGTAAGGGGCTCTAATCTCTTTAAGAAAAAAAATTTTTCCTTCTCCAAATGACTGCATTTATATGCTAAATTCATAATTTTGGCACTAAGAAACAAAAATTCAATTTCTTTTCTAAAAAATCGTCTTTGGGTGCTCTTGCGCATGTAAGTGCTCACAAGCATGCACATAGATGCGCAAGCAGCCGTGCGCCCGGTTTCTTTCCTCGCACGGGAGTCATTCTTGACTCAGCATGCCCTTCGGGCCACATCCTTTTGCTAGTGTAACTTCCCATTGCCCATGACTCAGCTTAACCTAGCTAGGCTAGCCTGGACAATAGCTTGTCACCTACGATGTGAACCCACCCCGATTAGCTCATGCACCATAGCCCTGCATGGCCTACTGCTCACTGCGGCACTACACACACTATCACGTGTGTAAGAGAGGGAACATGCACTCGTGGATGTGCCCGCGTGGCCATATGTGCATTAGCTCATCCCCTCACGCACCGTTGCATCTCTATTCGCGTTTGTACTCATGTGTGGACCTTACTACGCCCTTGACATGTAATCATGCTCCTTTGCTTGTACGACATTACATATGAGCCCATGCATGCATATCTACACATCCATATGCCACCACAACTCTACAACCGCTACCACCACTTGAACAATACTGTCCTACCGCCACTGTCACCTTCAATGTAGAGCAGCTTGGTATTTGCCCATCGTTATTCAAATTTTGGGGAATACCAAGACAACCCAAATCTCCCCAAAGTATGAACTTTTAGGAATGTTGTTATTTATGGTTTAACAAATAACATCTCCTGAAAATATGGGGCAATTGATGTATCATAAAAAAAAATCATTTAACAAAAATCTTGAGTTATTTTTTAGTGAAAAACATTCTTAATTCATATTAAAGATCATCCATGACACCCTCCTTCTGCCCCCAATTTCAATAAGCTTATAATAAAATGACCATCTCGACATGATAAACTCAATGATAACAAAATTGGTTCAATCTGAGCCCAATCAAGTTCAAATCAAGCCATTAAAACACATTCATGAGCTTCAAATTGTTAATTGAATGGTCAAATGAACTCTACATTTGATATATTTATAGTCAAATCGAGCATCTCGACGAGAGCAACTAATGAACCTAAATTTACTTGATTATGAGGTCATTAAGGTTTCTAAAATATTAAAAAATATTATAATCAAAAGATATCAATATGAGTCATCTAGTGAGGTGGTAAATTGAGTTATTTGCCAAAAAACTAAAATGCCCCTCCCAGAGGCTATATATAAATATTTTATCTTCATTTGAAGTGGGGTGGGGGGAGGGGGGACTGGAATTTCAGTGGTCTGAAGACCTAACAATAACTCTCATCCTCCATATTCGTCGACCACCCTCAACAATTGCTAGCTGGTAAACCTTGCTTATCGCTATTGGCCACCCTTATTTGTAACATCTTATATGAAATACGACCATACCACGTAACATTATTAAAAATCCAACAATAACTTTCGGTCTTCGTAGCTGTCAACCACCACTCGTCGGCCATCCTTGCTCCCACCATCAACCACCCTTATTTGTAATGCCATATCTGAAATATGATCATAATGCACAACGTCGTATTGAAGTTCATGATAACTTCCAACAATTTTTTTCCAGTCTCTTGAAGATTTACGCACTTCTATACTGACAAATGATATATCATCATAATTACAAACTTATAGTTGATTATTTCAACTTGGCTAAACCCCTAGCTCAATTATTTGTATGTGTTGAATCTTTATACATTTCTAAAACACTAATTTCCACTTTATCATTACAAATTTTTCGGCTTGCATTAACAATTAACCCCTAAGCTTTTATATTTATATTTTTATCACTAATGTCATAAATATAATGATGAAAATATGTATTTAACTTAAAAAAAATAAAAAAATATAAATTTTGATGTGGTATTCAATATTTGACCTCAATGTTTTTAAATATCAAAATTTAATTTTTAGATATTCAAATAAATAATAATTATATGGTATAGCATTTTTAATCCAAGTAAATCAAATGCAAATCAGCAATTATGTGTCGGCACACAATTTCAAATATTGAAAAACTCATTCCCCAAGTGGCAAGAGGGAAAGCGGAAACTATCCAACGCTTTTATCCACTCTCCTTGTCGCCCTCCACGTGGGAGGAAGACGTGCCGGCGATGGCCACGAGATGAGACAGGAAGCATGAAGTCGGCTGGCCCAGGAGCAAGAGAGAGTGAAGAAAAGAACCGATCAGCTTTCAACAAAACCCCTAGCAGCACGCACGGTAAACCATCACCTCGGAAACGGAGCTCTTTATCGATACTTCTCCTTTAGTACAACCCTCGAATCGATCAGAAGAAGGGTTGAAGGAAGAAAAGATCGTTTGCTTCTCATCCGAACTTCCATTATTCTTCTCACCACTGCAGAGAGGGCTTTGAGTCTGTCCTCGGTTTCCCTTGTGGATTATCTTGTGTTGGCGCTAAAATGGGGTTTTTCTTGGGTTTGGTGTTCGGGATCCCTGTTGGGGTCGGGCTGGTTATATTATTCGTCCGATCGGAGAATGCGAGGGCCCAGTACCGCTCTGACCTGGTAAGATTCTGTTCTCTCTTCTCTGGTTTTATTATTTGGTATTGTTGAGGATCGATCAGTAGTGGGAATTGGGAGGTATGGGTTTGGTAGGACATGAATTGTAGTTTGATAGATAGAGCTTTCATTTGAGAACAGTTGGAAAAATGAGGTATGGAATTGATCAACGCATGGAAAGTTCGAAATGTCAATGTGGGAACCAGGAAGAAGAGTTTCAGAAGTTCATGAACGTTGGAAGGATTACGGCTTTAGGCTTACAGTATGCAGTATGAGAGTTAAAGGGAATCGAATAGGGAGCCGTGGCTACTGAAAATGACCAAAAACGGTTAATTAGCTTGATATCGAGTTTAACAGTGGTAGTAAAGAGGCTTGTTTTAGCCTACTAATTTGTTGAGTGAAATATGACATACTGATGTGGAGCTGTCTGTGAATAATGTTGGAAGCTGTATGGCTGAGTAATTTTTAGCTTCGCTAGTTCCATGTTCTGGGCGCAAGAAGGTGGAAGAATTCTGGTGAAGAGGTTGAAAAGATATGCACACAGTTCCTGTTGAATGATTACTACCCTTGCATTGAATGTGGAACCTTGAGGTGCATTAATCATGGTATCAAGAGCCCTATTATGGTTTACATCGAATATAAGCCGATCATCTTTGAATCAGTACGGGATGAAAGGGAATTGTTACCTGCCAGAAGGAGGGATTCATCTTGCCTGTTCTTGAGCCATCTGCAACAACCCGTTCTTGGGCCATCTGCAACAACCCGTTCTTGGGCCATCTGCAGCAAATTTGAATTAATTTTAATATATTGTGGAAGATTTTGTATCTGCTTAACCTTGAGGGATGAAACTTGAACCTGAATTGTATATTTTATTCTATGTTTGGATCATTTCCAAATTGCACACAATTTTCTTTCTTATTTTGTTGAATAGAACGTGCAACAACTGTATTCTAGATGTTCTTATTTTATCAAAATTTTATTCCTTAGGCTGCTACTGTGGCAGCATTTGCAAAGATGACAGTGGAAGATTCAAAGAAAATTCTTCCTGGTGACTATTATCCTTCTTGGGTTGTTTTCTCACAAAGACAAAAAGTAAGTTGATTATGTAAAACTGAGCTTCTTGTTTCCTATAATGCTGCAATTCTCCGTGTACTCAGTCTGTTAAAACATGTTGCAGCTGAACTGGCTTAATCTTGAATTCACGAAAATCTGGCCCTATGTCAACGAGGTAATACTTGATTTTTTTCTTAGCACTTGAGTTATTTTGCATTCAAACTTGTCCTTTCTTCATAATTTGTTTTTTTACGCATATGCTGAAATTAAATATACTGTTGGAGCAACTGCTTTATTTCTAAATTAACTTTCTTATATTTCAAGTTTTGGTTGCAACTTACAATTGCCTTCCTCCAGGCTGCATCTGAATTAATAAGAAGTACCGTTGAGCCAATTTTAGAGCAGTATAGAGCAGGTGTATTAGCTTCACTGAAGTTGTCCAAGCTAACACTTGGTACTGTTGCTCCACAATTTACGGGTATGTTTATCAAAGTATTTGCTTTATATGTAACTAAGATTCAGTGCAGATACGTTTTCCTAGACCCATATTGTCTTCTTTTTTTTCTCTTTACATTGTTATAACAATCTTGCATATTGTTTACTTTGTTAAATCTGAACGCTAATATTTCCGATCTCATAGTTTCTATCCAATATAAAATTTTCTTCCTGCGGCTTGCAAGTCAAATCTTATAACTCAATCTCATATAGCGTTGCAGTGAATATCTGATTATGATATATTTATAGTCAGATTTTGTTAATGTTTCATGGTTGATGTTCTCAAGTAAATTTTGAAGCATTTGATTCAATAAGAGGCATAGATTTCATTCATCCTTATCTTTTGATAGTAATTATCACGAGCATATATTACCATTGTTGTCTCCTTTTATGTTGGCGCCTAGCATAAGGGCAAAGGGAAATTTAATCTTTTATTATTATAATTGTGGGTGTAAATATGATTATTATTTTAGTGTTTGGTTTATGCATGACATTGAGTTGTGAGTCTTAGATTTAGGGTTTGGGAGAGATTTCCCACCACTTGAATTGTATGGATTGGGAGAGATCGCTTACCTCTCGATTTTAGGTGTTTGTCTTTGTATTCTTATTAAGGGTGCGTTTTGAGCTGTAGTGCGATGGCGGTGCGGTGCCGCACCGCAGTTTTTCCTATTTGGCAAAATTGTGTTTTGCCTGCTTTCTCAAAAAGCTGTAGCTGAAAGCTACATTTTTCCACTAGACATGGCTAACTGCGATGGTTGCTTGAAAGCAACGGTCTGTCTTTTTGTACAAAAAAAAATGTAAATTTTTTGAACAAAGGTTTCTTCTTTAGCAGCTTCACCACTGATTCTTCAAATTGTTGCAGTTGCGCCAATCAAACCCCGAGTTGTTTGCATTATCAAAGAAAATATTATTTTTTCCTAATTTTGTGGAAAAGCAAGCCGAATTTGATGTCAAATCGCATCAAATTGGTATTAGAGGAAGATTCGGGGAAGAAATTATTGGATCGCTGGGTGCCCAGTCGGACATAAAGGGATTCTAAAAGACATATTGGCGCGTATTTGTCTAGCTGGGAAGAAATGCAGGATATCACAACTACAGTGATCGAACCCTCTCGATACAATCACGATCAGAGCTTGTGGTCACGCACAACGCGGGATTGGGCGTGACAACATACCCTGAGAAGGCCTTAGGGGATCGCTGCTAACAGAGGCCCGAAGATCCCATCTTCCAGGCCGAAGGGATCACGACAAGAAGATAATCGAAACTCTCATCTTTTGGGGTCATGCGGATCTGTGCAATACATTCACGGAAAGGGCTAGCTGGGAAGCATCAAAGGGATTGTGGCCTACAATGCCCTAATTAAGCGTTACATTCGCGATTCAATTAGTTGGGAAGACTACGATGATATTGTAACTACTAGGTCCATATTTGTGTAATCGAATCTCATCTACAGTTGCGGTAGGTGCTACTTGAGTAGGAACAATGAAATTGACGTGATTCGGGGACACTGATCTTAGGCACAGTTGCGATAAGAGCTAGTTGATAATAGAGGATTTCAGGGTATAAGAATTTATGCATTTGAGATTAGAAATTTTTCTAAAAAAGATGACATCAAAGAATGTAGATGATTTGAAGAAGAAATTGGAGGAAGAGATGACATCAAAGAGAGTAGATGATTTGAAGAAGAAATTGGATGAAGATATAAGTCAAATCAAATCTGGGATTGAGGAAAGATTCTACATCACAGTAGGAAGGATTTTATCCATGGAAAATTGATTTGACGGTCGATTCGAGAGCTTGGAAGAGATGCTGAGAAAGCTTGTTGAGAGACAATACAAGAACTCGCTGACAGTTCAGTTTGGAAACCCTAGTCAGGTGTTGACCAGAGATTTATCAGCTAAATTGAAAGGGAATGAGATCAGACTAGAGGAACACGAGAATGAAAGCATCCACTATCAAGAACCTCCTCCTAGGGCTTCGATTGGCAGTGCATTAGAGATTTCTGATAGAGGCTGAAATATGGAGAAGGGATCAAATGAACATTCCTCAAAAGACACTTTGTTCTTAAGACGGGAAAAAATGAGTGTTCCTCCACAATTGTCTTTATTTGCCCATTCTCCACATATTCGTCATGCATTTTGAGAATTTGTAATTTTCTATTCTTATGACGGTGTCTTGATTTCTCATCACACCGAAAACATAACCCTGTCTCTCTCCTCCAGAATCTGTCCTTATAAGATGCTTGAGCGTTGCTCTCAGTTGTGGTCCATTATTCCCGTCCCGTGCTGCCTCCCTTTGGACTTCCACTGTTTGAGTTTTTTATATCTTCGTGATTATAGCAGTTTGGTATGACGCTTTATATTTATTGCTTTTGCTAGCCATCTCTATCTAGTTCTTATCCTCCACCATCTGGGCTAGCTCCATTGTCTCTCTCAATATCTGCTGTCTCAATAGTTGGAGTGATGCCCGTATGTCGGGCTTTAGTCCTTTCATGAATATCTCCTTCGATTCTGCTTCAGTAATCCCCCCACCCGTCCTGATAATAGTTCGAATCTCTCTATATATTCCATGATATTCTCCTCCTGAGTTAAGACATAAAATTGTTCGTTTAGGTTTCCTTCTCAAATGACTCAGAAACATTCAAACAAACAATCCTTAAATTCTTACCACAAACGAGATCAGGTATCTAGCCTCCCGCCGTTGAAACAAAACTAGGACTTTCCCCTCCAAACATGACCCTGCCACCATGAGTTTCTTCTCCCCATCTAGCCCATTCACCTTGAAGTAACCCTCCATTGGAACCAGGCTATCGCATCTTGCTAGAGCCAAACCCTACCAATAGCCAACATTTCCATACTACAACCACACACACAACCAATAGACAACAGAGACCCTCAAACTACACCTACACTTACAACCAATAGTTAAGAGAAACCACTAGACATAAAAAACTCACATCTTCGTTACAAAAAATTATGCAACATCTTAGAAAGTTAAGACAAGTACCAACAAAGATGAATTTGTTTTGAAGACTACCAAAAGAACTATAGAGATATCTCTTCGATTAATGATATTAAATTGATAATTTTATGTAAATCCACAACAATCAAACATATTACTCTATCTTTGGGTGATGAACGAAACTTATGAAAAACTTTACTTGCTAGATATGTACATATGTGATTGTGCCTTAGTTATTTATAAGTAAAGTTCGCCGCCACAACCAAAACCACAATCACACCCTCATCACAGGAAAATCGAGAAGCCTCAGGGCACAACCACTGCGGTGAAATGAGAAGCACAAAACTACCATTACATAGGACAACCAAAAAGCCCAAGGCACAATCAATGTCGAAAAATGAGACACCAAACCACCACCATAGAGAACAACCGAGAAGCCCCAAAGACACAATCACATAGGTAAAACGAGAAGCTCCAAAGTGACAATCACATAGGTAAAACGAGAAGCACCAAACTGCCACCACAAATGCAATTCGAGAAGTCTCAATGCACAATCATATAGGTAAAATGAGAAGCAACAAACCACCACTGTAGAGGATAATTGAGAATGCTTAATTGCACAATCACATAGGTAAAACGACTAGCAACAAACCAATACCACAGAGGACAACCGAAAATCTCTAATGACAGAACCACATAAGTTAAACAATAAGCACCAAACCACCATTGCAAAGGAAAACCGAGAAACACCAATGCACAATCACATAGGTAAAATAAGAAGCAACTAACCACCATTATATCAGAGAACTGAGAGGCACCAATGACATAAACATATACGTTAAACGACAAGAACCAAACCACCACCATAGAGGAAAGCCGAGAAGCACTTAGGCACTATCACATAGTTAAAATGAGGTACAACAAACTGCCACCACATTGGACAATCGAGAAACTCCAATGACACAATCACAAAGTTAAACGACAAACACCAAACCACCACCACAAAGGAAAATTGAGAAGTTCCAAGACACAATCACATAGGTAAAACGAGAAGCCCCAAACCATCACCACATCCGATAACCAAGAAGCCCCAATGACACAACCAATAAGTAAAACGAGAAGGCCCAAACCACCACCTCAGAGGAAATCAAGAACCCCTGAGGTATAATCACCGACAAAATGAGATGCAACAAATCACCACCACAGAGGAATACATGAAAGGAGGTTAGGGAGAAGAGAAGAGGTGACAACGAATGTAGGGGAGAAGAGAAGAGGACCTCAAATATGCCCTAATGCCCGCCACGAAGTCATATAGAGAGAGAAAATAAGGAGGGGTAAAATCATGGATAAAATGACGGATTTGTTGAATTGATGAGGGCAGTATAATAAATGCAAACGCAGACCACAGTTAGAACTGCAAAACCTAGCGATGGGCTGTCGTTTGTGATTTCACCATTTCCAAAACGAGATTATGATAAAAGCAGGTGAAAAGTTGGCTCCCAAATGCCCAACAACAACTTTTCAAAATGAAAACACTCAGAAAACTCCCCCAAAATGCACCTTTATTCTCTTTAACTTCTACATCAAACTTCTTAATTCATGTATGACTTTCGTAATAGACTTGCCATGCATGCATTCAAACTAATTTTGAATTTTTTTTTGTCACCTCATACTCAATTACTCTCTCCCATTATTTTAATGTATGCCATTCTTAATTCCATTATAAATTGCACACTCTTGCGCTTCCCTTTTATTCTTAAAAATATGAACTGATATATTTTTTCCACCCATTAGAAATTTTTTTATATTTTAAATTATTATTAAAAAGTTTATCATTCCAAGCAATTCACAGTTCTCTTAAACATTTTCATACTTCTATTAGAAAACTACAAGGTCTTACGGTTTGTTTACACTATTTGTTTTACCAATGTGACAGTGAAAATGAAATTTGTTATTATTTATGATATTAATATCATTAAAGAAGATCGTATTTTTACAATCTTCATTGAATAGTTTACCAAA